CCTTGGGAGCCTGAGGGTCCGCGGCTCCCGGAAAGGCTCTGAACGGCCCCGCGACAACCCCGGGCGCAAGGGAGTCTGGGAGAGCAGGCGTTTCAGCGGCTGATCCTGACTCCCACCCAGCTCCGGGGCCTTGCACTCCCCGCCTCCCCACACCCGAACCCTTCTAGGGGCCCCGCTCCTGGCCCCAGGGGGGATCGGTTGGAGGCAGCCCATCCAGACCAGAGAGGGTTTTGTGTTTTGTTTCTTTTGAGAGAACGTAAGGCGTGGAAATGTTCCACACCTCCCTTTGTCTTGGCCAACAGTTCTTTACCTCCCGATTCGCCAGGTCAAAAATAAATATCGATGTGATTTTCACAGGCCAAGGGGGCCTTTAGCCAGAGAATGAGCCCGGCACTCAAGCTCCTGGCCCACTGGGAACCCCAGTGAGGGACAGAGGTGGCTTTGGAGGTGGACAGATGTGCAGCGCTAGTTAGCAACAGTGCCCAGAGTTTGAGAGGTACTGAAGGGCCCCTGAGTAGACAGCTGAGCTGCCATTTTCTCCAAAACTGTCAAGCCAGTGCCTTGCCAGTGGGGCAATCCCTCTGTGAGGCCCCGGGGCGACCAACGTGGCCTTGGGACAGCGCCTTCACAGTGAAATTCCGGGACGGGTTTTTGAGGATAGGGCGGGGTGCAGCTAGAGATGCGGCGCCTCCTTCAGGAGCCACCCCGCAAGTCCCCGCTCTCCCTGCAGGCCTTAGATCGGGCATGTCGACCACTTCCCCCGCCGCCTGGGAGCCCCCAGGCCCGCAAGGACCCGTGCCTGGCCAGGCCCTCGGCCGTTCGAGCTCAAGGGCAGCTCCCCGCAGCACAGCCAGGAGGAAGGAAGAGCATGGGACCAGAAACTTGCATCTTTCGTGGACTCCTAAGTCCTTCCCATGCGCACGACGTGCGGCCTTTTGCCAGGAGCTGCAGAATGGCCTGGGGACTGCTTGCAGTGGGTCACCCCTTCCTGTCCCCCCTTAATCTTTTCCCAATCCCCCGCCCCCATTTAGTTGTCGGTGTCTGAGGTCATCTTTCGTTTTTTGTCATGTGGGTGGCATTCTAAGTGGTCGGGGAGGGACGTTTTTCACTCGCTTAAATTCTCCTTGGGCAGGAAAAGGGGTGCTAAAATGAAGCACCTTTCATTTACGCTTATTTACATATTGATAGAGGGGCAAATGTTAGACGGAGAACAGACGCGCTAACCTGGCTGGCAGCTGCTGGGGCTGACACCGCAGGCGCTACACTAGGACTTACCTGCTGGGTGGGCTCGTGCGGGAATCCCAGCCTTGCCCAGGCAGCAGAAACAGCACCTCAGAGTGCTCATAACCTGCAGTACTGTTCCCGCTGCTAGGGCACGGCCGAGGGCTCGCCCCGAGTCCCTGTCCCTCCAGGGAGCGCCCCGGCCCA